AGACAATGAAGCAGTCCAATACAGTGCAACAGGCATTGTGCAATATTAGTGATAGTGGTAATACTAGCGCTTTTAGTTCGTGTAGTCCAGAGGAACTTGTTACCATATTTGGTCTAACGAGCACGTAGGAAGTTGGCACCAGATAGGGATGACATTGGAGGCGGCCTGACAAATACCTGCCAATATCCGACAACTAAATCTACTGTCGAGAAAGTCCGATTACCCCACAGGGCATCTAGGGTTTCGTCTGTCCGAGCCAAAATAGAGGCACCTTTTGTACTCACTTGGTTTCATTTTCAATGGACAACGCACAGCCCCAGGGCACTGTCTGCATAGTTACCTCAATTTCTACCATACTTTTGTCTCGCAATATAGTACCATTTGCTGTTTTCAGGATAACTATAGAAATGCTACGGTATCTAGCTATAGTTTGAAATTTACAAAACGTCTCCTTTCTAAGTAATGGCACAACATGGTCCAGAATTAGCGAAGCATGACAGCATGGCATTTCCTATACTGAATCAATATCTGAGTGGTGAGACGTGCATCGTGTGTTTGGAATAAGCTTAAATGATGGGAATATGCACTTACACGCTTCGTTTTCCTCAACGGAGGTGATCATCGTGCTTTTACGGAGGGGTTTTTTTTTCTCTATACGGAGGACGCAGACCAACAGACACAGACAAGTTATTACGAGTGCTACAGTGCCTGAAAGTCACTTGATAAAGCTTTCTGTCGATCGAGCGCCCTGATTGGTTTTTGAGCAGCCAATGGCTAACGGCTTTGCACACGACAGGTCGACCATCAATATCGATAATGCTAGTGTAAGGCGACTTAACCTAGCGGCCTGTCCATATGGACACCAAATCAGTAATGCAACACATCATTTAGATATAACTTGAGCTGGCCCCAAAATCATGCGTCTGAGCCTATCTCACTCACACATTAATCCGACTGAGCCTTCACTTGGATGCCTTTTTTCTGAAATATCCTTTCTCGTACCAGCGTATCCAATCACCGGCACACGTTTTCGGGATCACACCAGCATATCCTCTGGCTAACGTTGCAACTAAACGTCAGCGCATGTCGCAAGCATGACTCTGGCCTCCAGCACGAGTATCTACTGTCACATACGGCAATTGCTCTCCACCCTAGATGTGCACTAGATCATCTCCTTCCTTTCATCGTTGGCCGCAGGATCGACACATTCACTTCGTTCTGCGTCTGGTGGAGCGCTGTGGTTGAGAGCCAACAGTACTATCT